TAAATATATAAGTTGTTCGGGTTTTTTCATCTAAAAAAAGCTACATTAATTTCTTGACGACCTAATATAACTTATGGCTTAGGCTCATAGGGAATCTCCAAAATTAATTACATTCATCTGAGGAACATGACTCCTGTTAGGGGACGAATTCTTTAAATAAGTGATGGTTATGCTTCTCTCAAGTGGCGAGATTCTTTTGAAATTTACTGCATGTAGGCTTCAGACAATATTAATAGTCAAAGGAATGCATTCACAAATTGAATAATTCATTGAATGAATCTCGGCAGAGTTACTAAGTTTTTGGTTATATGTGAAGATGGAGAAGTCCAAGACTGTGGATTCTCCTTTCTACTAACGGACCTTATTTAATGTTGGTTCTGGTTTCCATTTTCTTGTAACAGGATTTACCTAATGAACTTGATGCTATAACCTTCTGAAATGTTATGGCAGAGCTTAGGATTGAATGCACTCCTGAGCAAAATTCTCTTTGAGAATTTCTCTGGAGTTTATCCAATAAAATGTATTCTTGTTCAGTAGCCACTTGTATAGATTAACAAACCTAAAATATCAAAAGTGAAGTTAATATACCTGTTCTCTACTTTCACGTGCCACATCAGCTTTTTATGTTTGAACAAAATAGCTTCGTCTATCAAAAATTTGACTTAGTCTTTTATCTTTTTTTTTGGTTGAGTCAAACCTATCAACAATCGCATTTCAGATCTCATCGAACCTCCCGGTATTATGGTTTTAGAAACTTAACTCGTTGCATTTAAGTGCACCTTATAATACCACAAAGGGAAGATTACCACCATTCGTCAGTACCAAATTTTGAATTAGGGTAAGCAAAAGGGTTTTGTTCATGGTCCAGTTAAAACGGTGGACTTATTTGTATGAATTATAGCAATGCCTCTTTTCTCATTTGTACAAACTCAACTACTGTAGGGATCGTTTGTTTGTAATTAAACACAAAGCTACAAAATGGACTATCTGTGCTATGCCACTCACGAGTATCGAAACGCGGTTTTCAGCGGTGGTCTTTTTCTCTTTTCGTAACAGGAATTTAGATTTTAAAGGAAAGTTAACTTTCCTCAACTGGGGTGTTCAGAGATATTATTATCCCCCCTTTCAACCCGCTCGTGGCAGTTTTATTTGGTATAT